AAATTCTGTCCAGTTTAAAATGTTACAATCCATAAAATATTTTAAGTAGTAATTTAAAAAAAATAAACATTAACGCAAAAGATGTTAATGTTTTAACATCTTTTGTTAAAACATGTTAAAACATGTTTTCATGTATTCTTATACATGAAGAATATAAATGTTTAAAGAAATAATGTTTTATCATGAAATTATAGCTGTATTGATACAATGGTTAATAGTAATAGTAGCAGTCATATTTAGTGTTTTTATTAATTATTAATTACTATTTTTATTAATTGTATAAATGTATTTATATAGCACTTTAAAAAACAAGTTTATAACTGTACCAAAGTGCTGCACAAAAACAATAAAATAATTTGATGAAAAGAAGAGATATAATACAAGAAAAAAAATCTCTCTCTCTCTATATATATATATTGTTAAAATAATATGAGTAAAAATAAGATAGAAAAAAAAGTCTTGAAAGTAAGTTTGTTTTCTCCTCCCATGAATCTCCTCTGTCCAAACTGCCAGCAGGCTTCCTCCAAATGACCTTAAGATCTCTTGGCTGTGAGGATTTCTTTTGTTTGTTACTGGAGTAAGAAATGTGAATCCATTAGGGGGGCTGGTCACTGATCCCATTGAATTTACTGTTGTTTCAAGACCAACTGTGTGAGATAAATGAACATTTGTATTCTGGATATTTTTTTATTATCATGCATCAAATGTTGCTCACTTTGAAAACTGTTGGCAGCCATTTGACAAGCTGTCTATTTGAATGCTATAATTCTCTCAATTGTTGATAATTATAATGTGAGTTCTCAGCAAGGAGGACTGAGTATAGTTACAGATTTAACTAAATAAATATAAACATTTTTACCTTTAAACATTTTTCATCCGTTACACAACAATGGGACCAATTTTACTGAGTCATATAAACAATGATAGCAGATTAGAAATGCATTTTTAATCTCCTGTCATCTATCTACTCCTCCCTATTTGCTCTCAAAAGATGCAGCTCCAGGCCTCTCCTCTATTTTCATTATTTTATGTAAGTCAAGAGTTCAAGTTTCAGGTTCTGTGGAACTGTAAACATTTATTTTATGCTTAAGTCATCATTTGTGAAGTTTTCTGTGAGTCAAAAACACAAACAAACAAAAAATGTGTAGGAGAACAAGGAGAGGAGGAGCTGCAGGAGGTGTCCAACATGAGGCTGAATCTGGAGTGGCTGACAGGAGGAGGAGCTGTGATGTCATCTGATCAAATCGTTTTAACATTTAACATCTGATTGTTGTTGCATGTTTATTTTTTGTATTTAAGATTCAAATATTTCTTTCACCAATTTGCTTCAGTGTGAAGTTAGAACTTGTGATTCATTAAGTTCTTATGTTAAGATTAAAACCTCAGAGAGTGTTCCCTCTGAGACTTGAGTCCAACATTTCCATATTGGGGAGAAAAGCAGAGGAGGCCTGCAGGTGCTTCCTGTAAAAGAAGAGACTGAGTCGTAATGCTTCACTGGGTGTGGTAAAAAAAAAACTGTTTCATATGTTCATCTTCTTTCAGACTTTTCTCATCATTATGTGACATTGACACTATGTTTAATATGTTGGACTGTTAGATTGCTGTTTTAGGAAAATCAAAATATTTGAAACTTCACAATGTAGAAATGTATTTCTATATTTTATAATATTTAAGTAAAAAAATATAAAGTGTAAAAGTATAAAAATAGATGACACTTTTTAGTGTCTTTGACAGCTGACTGCACAAACATCCCATTACAGGCAAAATGTTTTATTTTGGCACAGCTTCTCTCATTAATGTATGGAAAAATACACATGAACTCACATTTCCAATGTAACTGTAGTTTATTAATGAAAAAGAAAGCCAAGAGAACAATAGTTGTTAAGCACACTAAATAGAGAAGCAAGTTTTCTAAGTCTTGTAAAGAATAAACTGAATAAAAAGCAGATTATAAATGATGATTATGATCTTCTGCTATTCTTCAGCAGGACATCCTGACTTGTTGATGGTTTTCTCTGCAGCCTGGGAGCCCAGAGACACTTTACAGGCGTAAACCTTGTTCATGTTCCAGTCTGACGTCTGGATGGACAGAGAACTGCTGATGTGGAAAGTCTGGTCTGGTCTCTGAACAGCAGTGCTGGTAGAGATCCCACTGCTCACTGGACTCCCATCAACCAACCAGCTGACATCAGCAAAACCTTTAGATTCACTGGACAAACTGGACAGACAGAGCAGAGTGGCTTTGTTGGACTGGAGCTCAGCCTTGGATGGAGGGAAAACGGTCAGGACAGGAGGAGGGAGACTGGAACCTGGAATGAAATTAAGATTATTATATAAATACATGATTAAATCAACAACAAAGCACTACTTGGTCAAAACAAATAGTACAACTTACTTTAGGCATAGCCATAGTAATCAACTGACAAATTTGATTTGTTTTTGTTCTTTTATTTATGAACAAAAAAAAATATTCATGCAGATGAAAAAGTCAGTAATTCTAAAAAGGTTTATGATGTAGATTAACATGACAATGAATAATAAACAAGAGCAAAATACAGCATATGAAAGTCTGCATATTTATAACTGTTCTCAAGTTTATTCATTTCAGATATTTATTTCACAATTTATTCATTATTGTTATGCTCATTATTAATTTTTAGGCAGCTTTCTCTTTCTGAATATTATCTCATATTTTCATTTAGAAAGTAATGAAATTTAAAAGCGCATTTTAAAAAATTAATCTGATTAACTTTTTACTTCCATTTATTTACAAGAAAGATGAAATAAAACATGGATCCTGCTGAAATTTCATTGCAAACAACAAACATAGGAACAGATTGTATGTGAATCCTTTGTTAGTTTGTCAGTAACTACATTTGGTTAAAAGGTTAGTACAACTGTCTTAGACACAGAAGGAAGATGAGATCAAGTACAAAAGCAAAATATTTAACAGATTTTGATTTTGATAATTAACTTTTGAATCCACTTAACCTCTGGCATAACTTGATATTTTTGTGAGAGGAAAACACAAATGTGATAAAAACATGAAAATGGCTTTTTTAAAACTTTAATCAACACAAAAGTACACAAAAAGAAAAAAACAAGAAATATAAATATGAAAAAAGTCTTATTTTAAAGTAATTAAATCAAATCCTTACCTGTGACAATCAGCTTGGTTCCCGGTCCGAATACCACAGTGATTCAGTTTGTATACATCGTCGTACAAAAACCTCCTCGTTGTTTCTGATGACAGAGTGGAAGTGAAACATCCTGCTGTGAGCAACTTTCACTGAAAACATCTCAGTCTCTCCATCATTCTGCTTTTATTAGAAAACACACAAACTCACTTTGGTCTCTGTGGGCACATTTAAGCAGTGGCAGTTCTGCTTATAGTAACAAATGTATGTTTTGAACTGTTTAATATTCAGAGATTTGATCAGTTGGATGTTTGGGTTTTTGTTACACTGTTTGTCACTGTGATACAGCTTCATCTGCAGATTCATCCCATGTCTGACAGAAATACAGAGCAGAGTCTCCTCTCTCTGCCTGCTTAATAATGAACTGATAATCAATGTCTGATGAAGATTTAGAGTTGAATCGATCTGAAGAGAATCCTGTTCCAAACTCAAGTGAACTGTCATGGTGCCGAAAACGCAGAACATACTGAGGAACTCCACCAGGAACTTGTTTGTACCATCTGACATAATTTCTATCACATCTCTGAATGTTGCAGTTTAGAACAACTTGTTGTCCTGCTGAGACTGTCTTGATAGGCTCCTGGGTCAATGTTATCGCAGCATCAACACCTGACAACATGCAAAGAAACATGAATTAAAAATAAACACAAGAATTATAAGGTTTGCATTTTAAAATATGTTCTTTTAAAGTGTCTGTAAAGAGTCTTACATGTTAAAGCAGTGATGAGACTGCAGATGGTCCACAGCATTTTGTCAGTTTGTGGTGTAAATGTTTGGTTCTGTTCAGCTGAATGATGAGCAGGTTGGACTGATTGAAGGAGAGAACAGAGGTTTATAAAGACCCCAAGGAGACAAAAAGCAGAGGAGGAGGAGATTCATGAATCTAATATTTAGAGTCAGCTTCTGAAAGCCCCATATGTTTTCTGAAATGTTTGTTTAATTATTTGAAGTATGCATGTTATGAGTGTTTACTGGTAAATTGATTTGATTTCATAACTAAATTCCAATTGTTGTTTGTCTTTGTTCTGGCCCTTCACTGGCCAGGTTGTTTTCCAACATTCAAATGGAAACTGACCAGAAGTGAACCGAAGTGATGGTGAGCTGCAAGGACCTTTTTCTTTTTTATTCCATTTTGATTTTTTCCAGATTATACTGGGAGAACACAACTGAACCCTCAAAAACACAGAGAGCCACAAGAAACTTTGAAAACAAATGAAACTACAAAGATCTCTGATATAAAGTATTGAACAGACTTTTCAAACTTAAATCTGGAAGTCCACATAAAACTCTCTGAACATGTATTATTTTATATATGTGAGAAAGAAACAAAACTGCTTAAAGCAAATTTTACCAAAAGATATCTGCAGCATCAAAATACATTTTCTTCATGCCACCTTAATATCTGTTATGAGTGGTTATTTATGATTTTTATATTAAAAAATAAAATCATAAAAATTTGATTCATAAACAATTTGTTTTTGAATCAAATTGTGAACCAGGGAGTTCACAATTTGAAAAAAAAAATATCATAAAGACTGCAACTGTAAAAATATGGAATGGATTCCTTTATTGTTCTTTGTTCCAGCTGTTCACCATTTGTCAAAAAGCAGAAGTGTTTGTGCTGAGGTTTTTGTCATGGTATAAATCACTGTGTACGTATTCATTCACAGAGCTGTCCCATGTTTTACAGTAATAAACTGCAGAGTCTCGCTCTTCTACATTGTTGATGATTAAACGATAGCCTGTTGATGACTGATGAGTTGATGTGAACTTTGGAGATGAAAACCCAGAACCGTAGCTTGGTGAACCATAGGTACGATAGAAATACAGCACCCACTGAGGAACGCCTGCTGGAATCTGTTTATACCAGTAAGCGGTATTATCAACAGTCCCCAGGTTACAGTCCATGGTGGCTGTCTCTCCTTTCCTCACTGTCACAACAGGAGGTGTCTGTGTCACCACCGTCGCACCGCTCACACCTGGAAACAACAAGATGACATGAAGTCAAGAGAAGCACACAGATTGATTAATCTAGCATTAACTCCAACCTACAGTAAGTCATCCTCCTTACATGTTAGAGCAGTAATGAGAGTGCAGAGAGTCCCCAGCATCTTGTCAGTGTTATTTGAACTTGTAAAATGACCTTACTGCTGACAGATGAGAGTTCAGAGGATGAGGAGAGGAGGTGCTGAAGGAGTCCTTTAATACAGTGAGATGGACTGACAGGAGGAGGAGACTGTTAAATTCTGTACTGTAGAGTTCTTCACTTTACAGCTTCAGTAAACAGAAGTATTTGATGTGGTCTAAGCATACTTTCACTGCTGACAGTGTTTCAGGACTTCTGGAATTAAATCAATTGGTCCATACTGGTCTTGTAGAAGTGGAGCAGTCTGCATTATCTTAACGGTTTCAACTTGCCCCACATGTGTGTGTTTAGACTTTAAGCATATTGGAGGGATGTGATGAAAGATTGAAAGTGATAATTCACTGCTTGCTCAGGTTTGTTTGATTGTCAGCATCTTTTGTGTACAGTTTTATTTTTAAACGGAATTAAATCCATGACTTAAATTTAAATTACTGACAACAAATATTGCAATAATTATGCATATATGAGAATGTGTAGAATTCATTCATCCAATCCTTTTCTACGTTATTTCTTATTTTGTTGATGAACTGATGATATTTCCATACGTAATTTTCCTAACATATGATAAGTTATTGAAGCTGGCAGAAAAATTGAGGATGAAATTCATAAATAGCCTACTTTTAGTCATTTCTGTGTATTTTAGAATTTACCAAAAAAAAAAAAATGTTTGTCAAACATAACATAATTGATCTCTAATTTTGGATGAGACATTTTAACTTGACTCAATGATGAAAGTTGCAAAATTCCACACTGTCACAGTAAGAGATATATTTTCATACTGAGAAACATATTAGTATAACCTGTACATACCTAAAGCTCCTCCTCCCTCCTGTCATTGTGACCTTAAATACCTCCTCCAACACCTCCTCATCTTCTAAACTCTCATCTGTCAGCAGTAAAGTCACTTTAGAAGCTCCAAGATCATTCTCAACACACACTGACATCATGCTGGTGACCCTCTGCGCTCTCATCACTGCTCTAACGTGTAAGACTGGAGCTCATGATGGAGTCATCAGACTGTCAATATTTTGACTGTTTTTTTTTTTTATTATTGTTTCCAGGTGTGAGTGGAGCGACTGTGGTGACACAGACGCCTCCTGTTGTGACAGTGAGGAAAGGAGAGACAGCCACCATGGACTGTAACCTGGGGACTGTTACTGATAGTGCTGCTCGTTGGTATAGACAGATTCCAGGAGAAGTTCCTCTATATATGCTCAGGTTTTATCATGGCATGAGTGCACCCAAATATGACACTGGGTTCCCTTCTGCAAGACACACGTCCACTCATCAGTCAACATCAGATTACCGTTTGCATATCAGCAGTGTGGAGGAAGGAGATTCTGCAGTTTATTACTGTTGTACATGGGATGACTCTGCTAAAGAGTGGGTATCACAGTGATTCACACTGTGACAAAAACCTCCTCATTACCACTTCTGCTTTTTCTCTCCCTAATACATAAACCAGGTGAAGCCACCAGCAATAGCTTCATCCAACACACAGCATATATTTTTTCAGCATTTACAATTTTTAAAGTTTTTTTTTATTAATAAATAAAACCAGCAAGTACTGCATGATGTCTACAAGATTAAATACGTAATCTTACATAAACGGTACAATAACAAATATCTCTTACATGTCACAAGTATCAAAACATAGATATTCCACAAATCTTAAGCTCATATGAAAACTGACTAATGCTAGATATTAACTAATAAACTAAACAGAAAAATGTGTAAAAGGCCAAGAAAAAAAATAGACTAAAATATTATTTAAACAGATTTGATCAAAATTTCTTAATGGTAATTTAATATCTGGAGCAAACATTATGTTATCATTAAGTTATGTGTTGAAAGTTCCAGATAGAGATGAAACTTAAGTTCTTAATTTACATGACAGTTTAATCATGGAGATGACGTCTGCAGCTGCATCCTGTGAGAACAGAGAATGAAGGTGATGCTTCACTGACAGAGGATGAAAATTCAGTTTCATCTTTTCTTTAAAGTATTTTACACCACTAACCCATATTCTTATTAATTAATGTTTTCCTGTGCTTACAATACACAATTTAAGACTATACTCTACTCTGTTACAAAAACGTTTTAGATTACGAGTTAAATTGTGGTTTTTGTTTCTTCAAATAATGAAATCAAAAATAAATATTTGATTTATGATTGAGACAGTTGTGTTTAGCTTCAATCAGCTACATCACATGGCAAAAATTTAAAGCTGTTTCACAATTTGTTTGTCTTTTTTACTTTTTTTCTTTTATATGTTTAGATATTTTCAATAACCTCCACTTCTACATTGCTTTTTAATAAACACTTTTATATAAAGTTCAAATGCTCTGCCTGCTCTTCTCCCTTGGTTTACAGATCTAAGACAATGAGAAGTTTCTCCACTCGCAAAATGTACTTGTTTTGTCATCTGCTTATAATGATAATTGTTTATTACATTACTTCCATGATAATTATGTGTTTAAAATATTTGTAACTCACTATTAGAAAAATGTTTAGTTACCAACATCACATTTATGTGAATGACATCAGATTACTTTTTCTAGCAATGAAGTCATAACACGAAAACATTTCATGGAATGGCCTTTGATAATAAGCTAAGTTGAATTTAATTATTTTTTGAATGTTTTTTTTTTTTTCTTTTTTTTTTTACATTTGGTGATGTAAAATCTGAAAAAACAGTTTTGGGATTAGTAAAATTGTTACTATTTAATTCAAGATGTCCCTAGTTTAAAATACAAGTGTTTTTGTTGAGTGTATGAATCACTTCAATTCTCATAGACAGAGGTGTCCTCAGTTTTTCAGTAGTAAATTTCCTTCTTCTGTACTTCTGATAATCAAACAATAATCTGGTGTTGACCGATATTGGATGTGTGTCCTTGAGATGGGAACCAGTATCATATTTGGATGAAACACAGACACTTTGCCTGTACAAACAAGGGTAATTGGTGTTAACCTTATTGTAAACAAATTGTAATATCTGCTAGTTTTATTCATTTACAGAAAAAAGATTAAAGTGTAAATACTGACAAATAACGATGTGTTGACTGAAACTCTTGCTGGTGGCTACATTGTCAGTTCATGCGTCTCAGTGAGAGCAAAAGCAGAAGTGTTAATGAGGAGGTTTTTGTCACAGTGTGAATCACTGTGATACGTACTCTTTAGCAGAGCCATCCCATGTACAACAGTAATAAACTGCAGAATCTCCTTCCTCCACACTGCTGATATGCAAACGATAATCTGATGTTGACTGATGAGTTCCTGTGTGTCTTGAAGAGGGGAACCCAGTGTCATATTTGGGTGCACTCCAGTCATGACGAACTCTAAGCATATATAGAGGAACTTCTCCTGGGATCTGTCTGTACCATCGGGCACTGCTGTTAGTAACACTCCCCAGGTTACAGTCCATGGTGGCTGTCTCTCCTTTCCTCACTGTCACAACAGGAGGCGTCTGTGTCACCACAGTTGCTCCACTCACACCTGGAAACAACAAGATCACATGAAGTCAACAGTAACACAGTCTGATGGCTCAAACATGAGCAGTAAGTCATCCTCCTTACATGTTAGAGCAGTGATGAGACTGCAGAGAGTCCCCAGCATCTTGTCAGTGTGTTCTGAGAATGATCTTGAAACTTGTAAATTGACCTGACTGCTGACGGATGAGAGACTCTAAAGGTTGAAGAGAGGAGGTGCTGGAGGAGGCATTTAATATAACACTGACACTCAGAAGGACTGGCAGGAGGAGGAGCTTTCATCAAATCTACATTGTAGTGTTTTATTTATTTATTTTTTTTTTTCTTTTTAGTATCTTTGAAGAAAATTACATACATTTATTTTGAACACTGTAAGAGAGGGACTGACAGGAAGAGGGACTTTAGCTGTACATTTATTAAATGTAATATCTGGTCCAACTCCAAACTCATTCCCCTCTTCACATCTATCTATTGCTAGATCATACTATTGTTCCATTACCAGGCTTCTATTCTGTTTTTGTTTTTTTGTCTTTTTCTCATTAATTGCTTCATTTTTGGATTTTTGACTATGTCCAGATTGTCTTCTAAACGTTTTCAGACTTGGATTTACTCTGCCTGCAGTCTGACTGACTGACTAGGGATCAGTGAAAACAGCATAGGACGCAACAGAACTAAGTCTGGGTCAGATAAAGACCCTAAACTAAGAAAGTATTTCAGTTTATCCATGTGTTACAATGTCCCAGTTATAATCAAGCCCTGGATTGAAAATATGTGGCAAGACTTGATAATTGAATAGGGTGAGCTCTTTTAGACAGAACAATGGACCAATATTCTCTAGAAATATGACGTTTGTAAATTTTTCACTTTACACTTTTCTGGTTTGTACTTGGAAATATTTAGTAAACCATATATAAGTTGCCTCCCACCTCACAGTGATGTACTACTTCCTGTTGGTCAATCATACTGATTCCCAGTAAAGATTGTCATAAATTGTAACAAAATGAATAAATGTTTGGAAAATATCTCGACATTATAAATTGCCACCATTTGTTTTTTATTTTTTCAAATATTAATCTTAGAGACTGAACATCTAGTATACTGCTGGCTAATGAACACAGAATAAATTCTTTCGGTTAAAATTCAGCTTGCAAGCTTTCACTTTTTGACATTTGTTATGTATATTTATGATATGAACCATTCTGAAAATTTTAGGGTGAATGCATTAACATAACTAATTTATGTTTTTATTTCAAACAGACCACTTTTTACATTATCTGTTCGAAAAGGAGCAGGTAGAAGATACAAGATCTTATGATTTCCTACTCCTCTCATACTAAATCTTCAAACACCAGATAAACTTAAAGTATTTCCACATTACATGACACAAACGTTTCACATTCTCATCTTTAAATGTACAATTATGTATCATTCTTTTTTTATATCATCAATAGCATTTTTGGTCTTTGAAACACTAATCTTATGCAGCATATTTCCCAATAAGCTCCTTTTGAAACATATTTTTAAGCTGGTTTATATTTGTAATTTTTTTGAACTCATCATTTAATCCATTCCATAAATCTACTCCACAACCCTGATGAACAAAGCTCTTTTTGGTTGTACTAATACAGTTTTTTTATGTGTCCTTCTCTTAAATTATAACCCCCCTCTTTGTCACAAAACATTTTTTTGTATATTGTGTGGAAGTTGATGGTTTCTTACTTTAAACATGAACACGAATTATACAGTTTTAAATGTCACAAAGTCCCAAAATTTCAGTATATTTGATTTTAAAAAATAACCGGTTTGTATGTTCCCAATATCAAATTTTATGTAGTATGTGGATTGATATTTTTTTGCATTGGCGTACAACAGCTGTAAAATTGTTTTCTATGTATTGTTCCAAACTTCAACATAATATGTCAAATGTGGTACAATGACTGCATTATACAGAATAAACAAAGATTTGTAATCCAGGACAAATCTTATTCCCTTCAGAACAGCAGCACTTTTGGGTAGTACTTTCTTTCTTTTTTTTTTTTTTTTTTTTGGTTGGGGGGGGGAAAAAAAAAACTGAGGCTTCTTTTTCTTTCCCTGCCGC